TGTTATTTATTTATTTATTTTTAAAATTAAATGAGATTGTTGTAGTTGATAAGTCTTCTCAGAAACACTTTTTACTAGTATTGTAGTGAGAAGAAGTGGTTTTCAAATGCTGGTCTTTGATGAGGTTTTCATCTGTTCTGTGTTGAAATAAATATCAGAACATTGTAGTGCATGTGGTTTTCATAGCTCATCGGTTTTATGATGTACATTTTCCCACATTTTAGCACTTCTGAAAATGAAGTGTTTTATAGTCAAAGGTATCTTAAAATCTTTGTTGTGAAACAGTTGTCACTGCCCACACACCTGTGAACTTAATTATTAATCCTGCTGTTATGACTAGACAACTGCAACCCACTGAAGTTTCAATGAACATGCCATTTATGGGAGAGATTACCTACTCTGGGTTGTCTTCTGAATCCTTCTATTAGTTACATCTTCCAGAGATAACTTTTGGTAAGATCAAAAAAGGTATGGCATGGAGACTTGGACAATGTGTGTTGGTTGCTTAGATAACAGTCCCAGAGGCAATAGAGGAACACTTTTAAAAGAAATAATTGCATCACTAATTCTTTAAATGGCACAGAGGGTGATAATATGGAAAAACAAGGATTACTGATGACTCTGACTTAAAGAAATTAAACACAACAGTGCTATATGAAAAATCATGTCTAAATAAGCTTAAAAGAGCTTTTCAAATAATCTATACTAATAAAAGGGTAATATGCTAATCAGACCAGAAATCTTCTGGACGTCATTCCAGACAAAGCCGCAGCAGCTGCCTGAGCCTCGGCTGCGAGGGCCGGGCTGAGGCTCAGGCAGGGCGTGGATGGCGGCAGCTGCTGCTGCTGCGAGGGCGGGCTAAGGCTCAGGCAGCCGCGGCAGCCGGCAATGGCAGCAGCAGCGGCGTGATGGGGGCGTCTCCTTCCCTTGATTGGCCCAGGCGCCTCCTGCAGAGGGAGGCCAGAGGCACCAATAGTGAGGGGGTGATGGGGGTGGTGCCTTCCCATGATTGGCCAGTCGCCTCCCGCAGAGGGAGGCCAGACTGCAGCTTAGGCTCGCTCCCTCTGGGAAGCGGACCTAAGCCATTAGTAGGATATCCCCTGAGGGCTCCCGGACTGTGAGGGGGCAGGCTGGACTGAGGGGACCCCCTCCACCCCCCAGTGCACAAATTTTCGTGCACCGGGCCTCTAGTATTTATATAAAAGGCCAATATGATAAGTGCCCAACTGTCCCACTGGTTGCTATGATGTGCACTGACCACCAGGGGCCAGGCGCTCAACACAGGAGCTGCCGTGACGTGCACTGGTATCACGGACCTGGCACCCACAAAGCAATACTCAGCTTCCCCCAAGTGGGACATAGGCCCTGCCACCACCCAATAGCCCACCAAATTGCAGCCGACGCTGCCATGGCGCAAAATGTGGCCCACAGCCCAGCCCAGCCCGAAAATGGTCGCTGTGGGCTGTGGGCGCCGGGTAATGATGTCATGTAGCAATGCCCAGCTTCCTCTCCCTAGCAACGACTAGCTTCCTTGCAGTTTTTTTAGTCCAGGAACATGACTTGCTTTATAGCCAGGTGCAAGCATTTCACATGTTAACCAAATGTCTGTGAAGCGTTTTCCTGTGCCTCATCTCATTTGATTCTCACAGAAGTCCTGGAGTAGGTAGATAGGAGACTTGGTGGAATCCTATTTTCTTTTCATTAGCCAGAAAACGAAGATTTAGAAAGTTTAGAAACTTCACCCGAATGAAAAGAAGTAAGAAATGGACCTTGAAAATGACTTTAGGTTTTCTCACTGCGCAAAATATAGTCAGACACTGCTGCAGTTAAATATTTTACCCTTTGTTCTCCTTGCGTGATCTACCATAATAATCTGCTTCATGTTGATATTTACTGCTGTGTTGCTGACAATTACCTGAAACTTGGGGTGATTCTCTGGGCTGGAAAAAGTTTAACTACATCAGAAAGCAGGTCTAATTAAGCAAGTTTATCCTATATATATATAAAAGGCTAAGTTGAATCGCACATGTGCAATACATATAAAGCTCTCGCTGGCACCAATCGCAGGTGTGTGTTTCAATCTGTTATTGTCGATCGTGAATTTGGTTGACACTTCTATTATATAGAAAGGGCGAATAGTGATATTAAAATATTTCTTCTAATTAATTTCCTTTCAATGTGCACGAATCGTACACTGGGCCACTAGTTGTAAAATAAAAAGTTGTAAGCAATGAAAAAATGTAAGTCCTAGTTTAATTGGGAGGTTTTGTTTTTTTGTAGCACATACAATAATGTGCACCTTAATATTAATGGTATCTTGGAGTCAATGAAATGTGGTGAATTTACTCAGTTTAAGGGATTGAGATTATCTTAAAATTGTGCTCTTACTATTTGGTGTTACGTTTGTTTTGTAAGTTAATGGTGATTGTAGATAAATGGTTGTGTTTTAAATGTCCATTCTTAGTAAAATAAAAAATTGGTGTTCCAAATTTCTCTTGAAATTATTTTGGCCTGTGAAATTCAGAGATCCATGAGCCAATGTTATATGACATCTAGCATATTAATCTTAGTGTTTGTATATTTCTCACAAGAGGTTCGAGTTTATTTTTTAGTTTTTTGGTTTAAACAGATTTCACAGAATGGTTAATAACAAAATACTAGGTGCTGACAGCCTATTTTGTTTGGATTTATATTTTTTACTTCCGCTTTGTCTTTTTTTACTTTGCTTTAACCAGTCCTGTGGAATTAAGTTTACTGTGCTAATAGGCAGATAACCACTTAAAAAACGAATGGTAAAAAGTTTTTTTTGGTCATTCTTTACCTTATATGCATGGAATAATTTGAGCAACACTGGAAGGCTCCTCCCCTAACCATGTATGTCTCTCTTGCTGCCCCTGATTGGCCCCACGACCACCCCAATCGGGTGGGCTGTCTGGACCCCACCCATGCACGAATTTGTGTACCAGGCCTCTAGTATACATAATAAATTGGAGTGTGGCTTTAATTTTAAGATCCCTCTGTAGAAATTGGTCCTTTTCCAGAAGAAATGATAAGAAAGCTTGGTTTAGTGCTTAAAGTTATGAAGTTGGTGTCAGTAGAGTGTCTGAATTGGAAGATATTTTCTTTGCTCTTAAAGATTTTCAACTTCTGTTTCACAAACTTCCTGTAATATGGAAATATTTAGAGCAATACTTATTTTAAGTTAATATGAAATTTATTAGGCAGCCAAAAATTTAATTTACTATTTTTCCTTGAGTTAATGGGATTATTTCATATAAGTTTTTTGTGTGTGATTGTTCTTAAGTTTAAGTTTTAAAAATAAACTACATTGTTTGATTGCCGAGTCAGACTTTTTTTTGTATTCTGGCAATTTACAGAGTAAATTGGTTGTCATAAACTTGACTTGTTTATGAATATATACAGAAGGATTTCCAAATCACTACACAATTAATCTCAATGGATATTTTGAAAATAAGAATTAACAGAAACAAAGGGATACTATTTCTTATCCATCAAATTGACAAAATTAAAAATTCTGAGAATATCTAATATTGATAAGGATATAGAGAAATGGGAATTTTTAACTATTGCTGATGTTGGAGAAATATAATTTAAGCCAAAGCCTCCTGCCATCTCAGAAAACCTCTCTTCAGAGGTAGAAGAGAAAGAAAACAATTTAATGTTTGAAGAAACATTAATCTAGAATGTGATGCATATCACGGGCAATCTGCTAAGAGATTGCAAAGACCTACAGAGAATTCACCCTTTATGTAGTTACATACACACTCTCATGAGAAACTATAATAGCGCTCAAGTAAGAAGACTGATGGCAACATTTGTCACACATAGTTTAAACTAAATTCACTTGGTTGTTGGGGTGATCATATATATTGTTTTTAGCTAATTGGCTTTATCCAAAGGAAAAAATAAACATTTTTTATGTTTTGGTGTTCTAAAAAATATTTACTCAATTATTTTCTTTCATATACTAACCGTTTTCTGTTTCTTCTTTTATTTTGTTTAAATAACCCCTCAAATTGTAGAGCATATTGTTCTGGAATGAAGACTGTTGTAAATAAATAAGCAGATGGATAAAAGCAAGTTTGGTTTAATCAGTATGTGAGCTTACCAGATTGCTTGCTAGAGACGTTGTATGTAGCTGGTTCAGTTGCAAATATTAACATCCAAACTGATGATCCCACTGCCCATTAAGCTATTTTAGGCCGTATAGGTTTAATGAGGGTTTTGTGTCTTGTGTGATGTCTGTAGTACATTGCTTTGCTGACTCCAGTTTCCCTTTCTCTTTATATAGGACCGCAGCTGAATGCACAGCTGGAAGGTTGGCTTTCACAAGTACAGTCTACAAAAAGACCTGCTAGAGCCATAATTGCACCGTAAGTTTTAAGGGTCTTTACCCAGAATATTTTATATGTTAATTGTTAATAAAGAATGAGTATCTGCAGGTTGAGCTATAAACTAAAACCCAAAAGACATATTGAGCTGACAAAATTATATTCAGTAAATTTCATGATTCCCGTGGTTTTCACTCTAACTCAAGGGTAAAGGAGATTGGCTACTTTATTTTCTCAGATGCAGTAATTTCAAAATTTATGTTTGGTAATAAAACTGCTTTTTAAAACAGATGGGCTGTTTACATTAGGTAAACTTGGAGATTTTGGTATTAATTGGTATAAATGAATAAGTTCTATTTTAAACATTAAAAAGATCTACTTTAATCAAGATAATTTTTAACTTATAATGAAAAATATGCTTTAACCATAATACAGTGCAATATGGAATAGCAACCAAAGTTTTGTTGGAGGGGTAGATTTTTTTATAATGGAAATCTGTGACTCTTTTGTCTTTGAATGTTAGAGGGCTTTTTAAAAGAACTGACAGCAAATATGCAGTTAATGATGTGTCTGTGTATGATATGAATTCAGTTAATTTTGATTTGGTTTCCAGTGCTAATATTGAAAACACATTGTTTTTTAAGCACATGTTAACATTTTTCTGAGAAGAGTAAAAGTTGGAGTTTGTGGAGTTTCTTCTCACAGCAGCATCTTTTATGACTTCTATTGAGTTAAGGTTGGTACCCTGATAAATAATAAATAGTGAAAATAATGATAGCAACCATTCATTAAACAGTAGGAGAATTAAGTGATTAAATATACATAAAGAGCCTACATTAATGTTTGGCATGTAATAAGTATTCCAGAAATGTTAGGTATTTTATGTGCCAAACATTTTGTCAAGTACTCCATTTGTATGTTCTAACTTGATCTCATTTGATAGATACAGAAAAGCTTTGTGACATACAAGTTATTTAATCTCTTGTGCCTTTGTCTCATTAGTATAATTGGAATAATAATAGTAATTCCATATTCTTTTTTTGATGATTAAATGAGCTAATCTTTATAAAACTTTTAGCATAATGACTTGTAATTATTTATTTAGTCATTCAGCAAATATGTACCAGGCTAAATGCCAAGTACTCTTCTTTGTGATGCTTTTTGAATAAGTCAAAATCACTTCTCTCATAGTGCTTACATTTTAGTGCCCAGGGAAGACAGACAGAAAACAAATGATTATATTCAGTGTCAGGTGCTAATGGGTGCTAAGAAGAAAAAGCAGAAAAGAAGATTGAGAGTCACATGTGGGCAGGGAGTTGCTAGTTTTTATATGATAGTAAGAATAGGTCTTCCTGAGAGAGAAGTTACACAGATAGCCAGGAAAAGAGGGTTTCAGGATGGGGAACAGCGAGCACAAAGGGTCTAAAGCAGGATATGCTTAGTGTACTTGAGAAAAAGCAAGAAGGCCAGTGTAGCTGGAGAGGCCAAAAAGGTAGTGGATGCCAGGCATCAGGGACTAAGATCATGGAGAAGCTTTGTAGACTATCATAAAAACTTTGGTTTTTATTCCAAGTGAAATGGCTAGGAGGAGAACCAAGGGTGAGTGCTGTTTCTGGGAGGCAAAAGGATGAAAAACGTGTCAGGGAAGATAAAGGATCAACTGTATCAGATTCTGCCAATTGGTCAAATAAGATAAGGATTCAGATTTGATCATTGGATTTTGCAGTGTGGACATTGCTGGTTACCTTGATAAGAACAATATTTGTGGCCCGGCCAGTGTGGCTCAGTATTGAGTGTTGACCTATGAACCGAGAGGTAACTGGCTCGATTCCCAACCAGGGCACATGCCTGGGTTGTGGGCTCGATCCCCCCAGTAAGAGAGCGTGCAGGAGGCAACTGATAGATACTTCTCTCATTGATGTTTCTATTTCTCTATCTCTTAAAAAAAAAAAAGCAATTTTTGTGGAGTGATAGGGATGAAAGCATGATTGGTGTGGATTCAAGAAAGAATCTGATAGTGAAATGAAAATTGTGAATGTAGATTTTTTTTTTGAGAAATTTTGCTATAAACTAAGGAAATAGGGTAATGAGAATATAGTGTCAGGGAGAGGTAAGAGGGGAAGTTGGTATAAGTGAGATCCTTGATTGGGTGACAAACAGTGGATCTCTTTTCAGTAACGTATGAGCTATGTTGTATTGTCTTGCCCCTTACTTTGCTGGTATTTGACTATTATGGTATGTTACTTTCCTAGTTAAAACTTGTTCTAAATGTGGGAGCTGAGCTGAATCAACGTATAATTAAGTCGAGGTTAGTTATTCATGAAAAATAGCTGGATTTATTTCCTTCTTGTAGCTAGTTTAAAATTGAAATAATTGGCAGTGACCTGGGAAATGAATTGTTTGCGCCTGTTACAAATACATTGATTTATAAAAGATTTCCAAGTTACCAATAGAAATTTGAAAATAGTTTTGACTTTGGGTGCATGTTTTTGCTGCATAGTGACTTTGTAATGTTACTGCATATATGGGCAATATCCATTTTGTTAACATATGAAAACTAAGCTCACTAAGTAGTCATGTATCTTATTATATAGTTTCCAGAAGTAATTATTTTTCCTTTGCAGAGTAACTTTTTTTTTTTTGGTAGAAAAGTAACAACAAATACTTTATTGTTATATAGGCAAAAATGGTTTTTGTTAAGAATATGTTATATAGTAATTTAGGACACTTACAAATTTAAGATTTCTGCTTTTATTTCAAATCAAGCCTATAAAAAACATACTTTAAATTTTATAAATTCTAGCTCTCTGGAACCAACTGTTCTTAGATTTTGCTGTATAGGCATAAATCATATAAGAGGGAACCTAAAAAGAAAACAAACTCAGAACCTAGATAGCACACTTTTGAAAGTGCTTACATCAGATTGCTCATTTTTATATTGATGTAGATGAAATAGAATGATGTCATTTAAGAATAAATATTGACCCGTAAATCACTGTTGATCAAGCTTAATGAATTCTAGCCTATATGACATATAGGCAGGCACATTTGAAGGATTCAAAATAATTTAATTTGATTAAAAAAAATCCTTTGTTTGAACTAAAAACTACCTTACTTATCTTGAGGCACAGGAGACAATATATGTCCCAGGGATATATACTGAAATGAAATCAAGAACTAGGAGTTCCAAAAACCTTTCTGCTATGACTGCCAAAATTGTTGTTTGTCTTGAAGTATGCAGGAATATCTCAGCAATCCTTAGAATGGAGCTGTATAGGTATGCATCACTTAAGAAACCTCTTATTGAATATAAAAATATAATCAGATAATTGGTAAGGGGCTTATTTTTTACTATATACCAGATATTATGAATATTGAAGCCCCCCTCATATATGAAAAATGAAGTTTTCCATGTTAGCAGTTAACCTAGTAGGAGTAGTTTCATTTTTCATTATTTATCCTTCTCTGTTTGACTTTTTTACTATATACCTGTATTACTTCTAATATAAAAATTAGTTTTAAAAAGTTAAAAGGTAAAAAACATTTATATAGAACACTAGGTTGTGTACAGTGAAGCATACCTGTAGAGCTGTTATCAGTGTGTATCATGAGACAATGAATCTTCATAAATTACTTAGTTGATTTAAGTTACTAGAAGTATGCAACTTGTTTATTTCTCACCCTTGTTTATATTAAGCAATAGGTTATTCATGCCAATATCTGAAATCCTATCCAAAAAATCTAGATATGCAACAGTATGGTTAGTTTATTCTTGTTTGACTTGAATAACTTTAATAACATTCTTTAGCTCATAGCTTACTTAATTTTTGTGAGATTCCATTTTGTAAAAATAAAATATTCTGAATAATGACTATCTAACCTGGACATTTTGGGGAGATATAATCATCTATTAATATGTCTTATTGAAGCAGGAATCTTGAGGGCCATTGAGCAATGCCTGTGAAAGAAAATAATGAAAGACTAGGCTCAGCAAAATAAAATTGAGAGAGGCATTGTGGAGGCTGCAAACAGTTTAGGGCCACTTGTCATTCAAGTTGGTCCCATATGTTCACAGGTGTTTTTAAATTTAGTTTCTATCTTGCCAGAGCATACTTTAGCTTAAGTAGATCTTAGAAACTTTTCTTATCACTAGAATCTTTTTATTTCACCTGGTCCAGTGTTCTCATTTCATCTAGTCCAATCTTTTTAATTTGCTTTTTTGCTGCTATTAAGTAGAACTAGTAGTATGAGAAACTGATTTTGTTGAATCCAAATAAGCATTCTTTACTATTCCCTATATCCTCTTTGATAAAAAACCTCTTATAGAATGTGAGATAACCTCTTGGCATTACAGTTTATACTATTCACCTATAATCTTGGCAGTCTGAGACTGAACAGGGAAAGTCAGTGTCATGTAGTATTGGGTAATTTTCCTGACATAGGAATTTAAATTACACCATGCTGCAAGGTTGCTGCATGGGAACCTGTCACTTAACCAGTGAATGATCATGGACAGTGGCTTGTATCCTCATTTGACTGCAGCTCTTTGGGGGCACAGAGATTCTGGACAGTTAGGAGCTGGACTTGCTAGTGTAAAGGGTCTATTGTGTAGGATGAAGGGAGAAGCAAAAGTACTCTCTGTTAAAAGAAGGCCCCGTTTTTAGAGGCATGGTTTAGCGCCCGTGGTCGGCAAACTGCGGCTCGCGAGCCACATGCGGCTCTTTGGCCCCTTGAGTGTGGCTCTTCCTAAGCCTTAGGAGTACCCTAATTAAGTTAATAACAATGTACCTACCTATATAGTTTAAGTTTAAAAATTTGACTCTCAAAAGAAATTTCAATCGTTGTACTGTTGATATTTGGCTCTGTTGACTAATGAGTTTGCCGACCACTGGTTTAGCCTAATGATAAATTGTAGGTATCCTATCTAATAAAAGAGAAACATGGTAATTAGCCGTACGGCCGCTACCCTTCCCATTGGCTAATCAGGGCGATATGCAAATTAACTGACAACCAAGATGGTGGCCGGCAGCTATGCACTGAAGCGAACAGGGAGGCTTGCTTGCTCCAGTGACTGGCGGACTCCAACGTTCCCCGCCTGACTTGCCGGCCTCTCAGTTGCAACTCTAAGCAACTATGTTGCAAATATAGAAGCTAAACAAAACCCCAGAAACCTGTTTTAGTCAGCCGGGCTTCATCCAGCTGGACCGCAACATTGTATCAAATACAGAAGGTAAACAAAGGCTAGAAAATTGCTTTCAGCAGCCGAGGCCTCAGAGCTAAAGCTGGCCCAGAATAAAAAAAGAAAAAAGAAAAAAAGGAGCAGTTGGGAGCTCCAGTCACCCGCCAGCCTGAAAACGGCCCTCAGCCCCTCAGCCAGGCTGGCCAGGCACCCCAGTGGGGAACCCCCACCCTGATCCAGGGCAAACCAGCCAGCCCCCACCCGTGCACCAGGCCTCTATTCTATATAGTAAAAGGGTAATATGCCTCCCAGCACTAGGATCAGCGGAGCCGCGAGGCCTCCCAGCACCTGGATCAGCGTGACAGGGGGCAGCACCCAAACCCCCTGATCGCCCTGCTGCTCTGTGTGTGACAGGGGGCGGGGCCACAACCTCCCTATCCGCCCTGCTCTGTTCGTGACAGGGGAAGGTGCCCCAACCCCCTGATCAGCCCTGCTCTGTGCCTGATAGGGGGGAGCTCCCCAATCCCCTGATCGCCCTGCGGCTCTGTGTGTGACAGGGTGCAGCGCCCTAACCCCCTGATCGGCCCTGCTCTGTGTGTGACAGGGTGCAGCGCCCCAACCCCCTGATCGGCCCTGCTCTGTGGGTGATAGAGGGTGGCGCCCCAACCCCCCGCCCCCCACTGGCCCTGCTCTGTGTGTGACGAGGTAGAGCCATAACCTCCCCATCGGCCCTGCCCTGAGTGTGACAGTGGTGGCGCCCCAACCCCCTGATCGGCCCTGCTCTGTGGGTGATAGAGGCCGGCGCCCCAACCCCCTGATCTGCCCTGCTCTGTGTGTGACAGGGTGCGGTGCCCCAACTCCCCTATCGGCCCTACTCTGTGAGTGACAGGGGGGAGCTCCCAACCCCCTGATGGGCCCTGCTCTGTGCGTGACAGGGGGCAGCACCCCAACCCCCTGATCCACCCTGCTCTGTGTGTGACAGGGGGCCGTGCCCCAACTCCCCTATTGGCCCTGCTCTGTTCGTGACACAGGGGAGCTCCTCAACCCCCTGATTGGCCCTGCTCTGTGAGTGACAGGGGGGAGCTCCTCAATCCCCTGATCGGCCCTGCTCTGTGCGTGACAGGGGGTGGTGCCGCAACTTCCCTATCGACCCTGCCTTGAGTGTGACAGGGGGCGGTGCCCCAACCCCCCAATCGGCTGTACCCTGAGCGTGACTAGGGGTGGCATCGCAACCTCCCGATCCGCCCTGCTCTGTGCATGACAGGGGGCAGCGCCCGAACTCCCCAATCGGCCCTGCTCTGAGCCCGACCAGGGGCTGCACCTAGGGATTGGGCCTGCCCTCTGCCACCCGGGAGTAGGCCTAAGCCAGCAGGTCATTATCTCCTGAGGGGTCCCAGACTGCGAGAGGGCACAGGATGGGCTGAGGGACCCCCTCTCCCCCCGAGTGCACAAATTTTTGTGCACCAGGCCTCTAGTTAAAGTATAATTTTGTATTTGCTTTCATGGAAAGTTACACTGGGAGCTAGGGTGACCTGGAAAAGCTAGCATGGATGACTTTGTATTTAGGATTTTAATAGCTTTTAAAAGACTGACTGGACATGCTTTTATGATGCATACTCAAAATTATAAAGCTCAGATTTTTATTGGTCTTCTGGCTATTAAGCACAAAAGAAAAAACACTTAGATATTCCCTAGTGAAGCCTCCTTTAATAGGAGTGATCCCTTAATGAAACCTTGTTTCCACATAAATGTAGAATCATAGATTCTATTAGCAAGAGAAGTGGGCAGGAACAGAGGATCAGTGGTGAGATTTGATAATTATTACTGTGACTTTTTTCATTATCATATATCTGGGCCAGGGTAAAGGAAAGTATTAGAAATTCTTTTTGACAATGAATGAATTAGAGTTTCTCATGATGAGGGCTTAGGAGGGTGATATATTTAATGATTTGTTTTTTGGTAATTGATTTCAGAGAGGAAGGGAGAGGGAAAGAGAGGTAGAAACATCAATGATGAGAGAATCATTGATCAGCTGTCTTCTGTATGCCCTACACTGGGGAGTGAGCTCACAACCCAGGACACTCCAACCAACTGAGCCACACTGGCCAGGGCAGATGAGGATCATTTAAAAAAATAGAGCTTCATTGTGGTATGATTACTATCTGCATATATGTAAAGTGTACTATTTGATAATGCTGAGATATGTGTACACCTATGAAACTGTTACCACTATTAAGATAATGAACATATTCATCATCCTCAAAAGTTTCCTTGTGCACTTTTGTATTTTTTCACGTCCACTGATATATTTTCTGTCACTATACAGGGTGGGGCAAAAGATTTACAGTTGTGAGTATGTGAAACATGGAGTTCATTCTTACATTATTTATTTTTAAAATATATTTTTTAATTAATTTCAAGAGAAAGGAAGAGGTAGAGAGAGATAGAAACATCAGTGATGAGACAGAACCATTAATTGGCTGCCTCCTGCATACTCCCCAATGGGGATCAAGCCCGAAACCTGGGCATGTGCCCTTGACTGGAATCGAACCCTGGGACCCTTGAGTCTGCAGGTCGGCACTCTATCCACTCAGCCAAACCGGCTAGAGCTATTTATTAATTATTGTCTTTTTTAAAAAAAAATATTTTATTGATTTTTTACAGAGAGAAAGGGAGAGGGATAGAGAGTTAGAAACATTGATGAGAGAGGAACATCAATTCAGCTGCCTCCTGTACACTCCCTACTGGGGATGTGCCTGCAACCAAGGTACATGCCCTTGACCGGAATCGAACCTGGGACCCTTCAGTCCACAGGCCGATGCTCTATCCACTGAGCCAAACCAGTCAGGGCTATTAATTATTGTCTTATTTTCCATACAAACAACTAGAAACCTACTTTTGCCCCACCTTATAGATTAATTTTTATTTTCTAGAGTTATTTAAATGGAATCATATAGTCTGAACTTTTCTGTCTGACTTTTTTCACTTAGCATATTTGTTTATTGATTTTTACCACTTTTAAGCATAATTATTTTAAGTGTATCAGTAGTTCCTTCCTTTCTATTGCTGAAGAGTATTTTATTGTATGGATACACCTCAATTTATCCATTCACCTTTTGAGGGTCATTTAGTTGTTTCCAGTTTTTGGCTATTGAAATAAGCAATAAAACTAGCATGTAGAAATGTTTGTGTGGACACTTTTTTTTTTAAAGAATGGAATGGTTTAGGTCATAGTGCAGGAATATGTTTAACTTTTTAAGAAATTGCCAACTGTTTTCCACTGTAGTTGTACTGTTCTACATTTCCACAAGTACAGACTGAGTTTCAGTTCTACATCCTTGCCATACTTGGTGTGGTCACTTTTTTAATTGTAGCCATTCTAGTGGGTGTTTAGTGGTAGCTCATTTTAGTTTTAATTTGCCTTTCCTTAATGCCTAAATGATGTTGAGCATTCTTTTATGTGCTTCTTTGCCATCCCAGTATATTTTTGGATGAAGTATCTGTTCACATACTTTCTTATTATAATTTTTTAATTGTGGAAAAATACACATAACAAAATTTGCCATCTTAACCATTTTCAACCAGTTAGTGAACAGTTCAGTACAATGGTAAGTACATTCACATTGTTGTGCAACCAATCTTTAGAACTCTTCGACTTATAAAAGCAGTTATCTATTTTTTTTAAGTATTGCTTTGTTTTGACTTTTTTAACGTATTCAGATATAAATTCATTATCAGATATATGCTTTATAAATATTTTCTTCAAGACAAGTGTTTTGTCTTTTCAGGTTACTAGGCATCTTGAAATTGGTCATGGAGGGGAATGATTTACTCCACATTAATTAGCAAAGTGCTACAAATCAGGGCTTTTATTTTTTGTTGATTTTCTATCTTTTTAAAAAAATTTTATATCATTTCATTTTATTTTATTTGAGAGAAAGAGGAAGAAGGAGACCCTAGATTTGTTGTTTCATTTATTTATACATTCATTGGTTGATATTTGTATGTACCCTGACTGTGGATCGAACCTGCAACCTTGGGGTATCAGGACAATGCTCTAACCAATTGAGCCACCAAGCCAGGGCTTGATTTTCTAGCTTAAGAAAGTAATGGGGAAAGGTTAATAATGCAAATTAAACTTAAAATTATGTTGTGTCTGTAGCCTTTACATTATAAATAGCACAAAAAAGTGAGGAAGGAAATATTCTTTCTAGTATTTGCAAACTATTTTCTAACCTCTAAAGAAGTTATTCAAGTCATTGTTGAATGAGTGATGTGTTCATTGTTTCACTCTTGTCAGTTGCAGCCTTCCCTTGGCTATGAATAAGAGTCAAGCTAAAAATCAGTGGAAACATTCTTTATAATCAGTTGGCTACATGGAATTTGCAATAAAGAGTATTACAAATATTTCAATTGTTTGTTGGGTTCTATTTAGGAAGTAGCGAGATTTGTGTGGTACATATCTTTTTAATTAAGTAAAATTTATAATAAACTTATTTACATATGTATATATCCCCCTCCTCTACCTGCAGAACCAGTTGTTAAAATTTTACCAGTATACCACTGGCCACACATTAATGAGAAAACACTAAGGGAAATGTTTCTAGACATGTAACTTGAATTAGTCAAGAAAGAAAATGAGTTTCAGAAACATTCAATAGGTGATAAGAGACCTAATCTGATGTTGAGACCAGAGGATAAGAGGGTTGTGTAATGGAGAGAGAAGGCCAAGTCAATTCTCTTTATTTAAAAAAATATATATATATTTTATTGATTTCAGACAGGAAGGGAAAGGGAGAGAGAATCATCAATGATGAGAGAAAATCATTGATATTGATAGGCTGCCTCCTGCATGCCCCCTACTGAGGATCTAGGAACCTGGGCATGTGCCCTTAACTAGAGTTGAACCCAGGACCCTTCCTGAAGCTCTATCCACTGAGCCAAACCAGCTAGGGCCCAAGTCAATTCTCAACACTGAAGACACAGAGGGAAGTGAGTTGTTAGTTGTAGGTTATTTGTTTTGGTCTGATTTGACTTGTTCTTGGTTTTATTGTTATGTAATACTCTGTTAATGGTATTGAAGAGGAATGTTAAAATCTCATACAGCATTAGTTTACTTTAGCCACTTCAAGTAAGCCTTGGTTATCTCCAAATCGAACTTTTCTTCTGACCTAAAAAATTACTCGATACTTTTTAAAATTTAAAGTTGGAACAGAGAACAATTATGTGTTTCCTATTATGGTCTAGAAGTTGCATTATTAGTTACATTGCTTTTTAAACTATACATTTGTTATGTTTATCATAATTATTATATTTCTTTCAAAAGTTTTTTTTTTTCCAGAGTATCTTGATTTTTGAATCTGATGATTAAGTTTAAAAAATATTTTGTTTTGTAGCCATGCAGGATATACATACTGTGGGTCTTGTGCTGCTCATGCTTACAAACAAGTGGACCCATCTATTACGTAAGTAATATAGAGACGATTTTGTTATGGGATAATGTTGGGAAGTATAATTGCTTTGTCACTGGAGTAATTTGTTTTGCATACTTATTGTTATTTTATACTCTATTTCATCAGGAATTTGACTTTTTATGAGTTTGATTATATCTTTTATAGGTTATAGAAAGCTTTAATACTATTTCCACTGTCGGAACCTTTAGTTTTTACCTTCCCTTTGGTTGGTAAAATGTTAAGTTCTGGAAATGTTAGGTCAATGTGATATTGTGATTTATAAGAAATATATATTTGGTCATTCAATGACCACAGTGTATTTCTCATGCGTATTTGGTCTTACCCTTAGTCCACAGTTCCTGACGCACACACAGGGCCCAAACCCTTGGAATTACCTCAGTGTTGAATATGACAGAAGTATCTCTTGTTCTAGAGGTATAATGAGGTGACTTTTGGATCCCAACTAAGGATAGGGGCTGGTCGCCAGGAGAAGCAATTATGATTAGAGGGTGGGACCTTTCCAGTCCCACTCCTGACCTCTGGGGAGTGAGGAGGGCCTGGAGGTTGAATCAGTCGCCAGTGCCCAGTGATTCAATCAGTCACAGCTATGTAGTGAAGCCTCCATAAATCCCCGAAGGACAGAGTCCAGGTTGGTGCGATCCAGGGTAGAGCGGCACTCTACTCCCTTTCCCCATACCTCACCCTGTGCATCTCTTCTAACTGGCTGTTCCTGATTACGTCTGCTTATAATAAACCAGTGATTTTTGTAACTACAATGTTTCTCTGAGTTCTGTGAGCTGCTCTAGCAAATTAATCGAAGCTAAGGAGGGGGTCATGGGGATCTCTGGTTTACAGCCAGTTGGTTAGAAGTACAGGTCAGAAGCCTGGCATCTGAAGTGAGGTTTGGGGAGCAGCCTGGTAGGACTGAATGCATAACCTGTGGAATCTGATGCTATCTCCAGGGAGAGTGTTCAAGAATTGCTTGTTGGAGGTGTGGGGAACCCCCTCTCCCCCATGTTCTTTGGCATTGGGTCCAGGAACACTAACAGTTAAATATGCTGGTTTAAAAAATTTTGTTTGGGAAAACCTGGAGATGAGCATTTTAAAGAAAATACAAAGCCCTTTATTCTACTTTAATCATTTGTAACTTAAAATTCTTTATTGTAGTTCATAAAATAAGAATAATTTCTCACTGACAGGATAAGGTTCTCTGAATTATTTTAGAATTGGACATCTTATTTCATATGATGTTTGAAGGATATAAGCATTTAATTTAAAGACAGCTCTGAAATTAGCTTTATAAAAATCTTTCTGGCAAATTGTGACTGAGTAGTATATTGCTCTCTAAAATGAGAAACATGTGAACTTTCAAAAATTTCTGCTGAAAATCACCACCCAAATTACTAAATTTTCTGACCAGTATTTTATTTAAATAGTTAATTTACTATATGTGAACCAGTATCAGGGTCCAATCTGTATTGCTAGTTGTTTCATATTATGTGAATAGATAAAATCAGTCATCTTAATTGTTTCATGTTGATTGTTAGTAGTAATACTAGTAATAGCAATACATCTCTACTAGTAGAGATGAAGCATAATCATTCAAAAGAAGTAACTCACAGCAGCCGTGAGTTTAAGAAGCAAGTCTCACCCATAGCCTACTCTTTTTTCCTTTGAGCAATTTTTTCAGTTTTTTAAAACAAAATTGCCCTTTTTTGTTTCTGTATAGTGTGCTCTGCACATTGTACTGTACCTTTGTTGAAAATTATTTTTACTAAGTTTTAAATAATAAATAAAATGATGTTGCCAAACTGATGAGGTTTTGGTTAGCCCTGCTTCATTTTGATGTGTTGAGGGGCTTCTTTAATAAATATTTCTTGATACATGTTTAATATGCAATTTTAACTAAATTATTTCATGAATAAGAGCAAATAGAAGTTAGATTGTAAAGATTTTCAGAAGTTTCCTTTATTTGACCCTGGATCTGTGAACCAGCTACCATCAAGGTTAGTTTATGTAAGAGCTTTTTCCAAATGTTTTTCTATTTGGCAGAATCTTAATTGATGATGATATGTGCTGGAAGGGTACCCCTGAATTAAATTTGGCCTTAGAATACATTAGAGAGATATGGAGCCAGTATTGGTAGTAGTGGAAAGCTTGTGTTAAATAGTTTGATGGAAAATGAGAGTGGAAGGAAAAAGATAAAGAATAAAAAAGAATGAGAACGAAGGACTAACAAGATGATGGAGATCACTAAAAAGTGAGGCAAATGGTGGATGGTGATGTAATCAGCTTATTTTTCTGTAATTAATACATAATTGAATCTGAATAAATGTGAAGGTCTGAGTGTTAAAAATAATAATGAATAGCCATATTTGTATTCTCTTAAAAAAGCCCCTCTCTGAGATTTGCAATGTCTTCAGAGTCCTTTGAGAAAACAGGAAAAACGTCATTTGGGAACTATGTGAAGTACAGAGGAATAATAAAGAACAGTTCAAGAGCGAAGGTTAAATTCTATACCATTAGCTTCCATTCTTTTCACACTAGTCCATTTTCTACATGTCAATCAGATCATCTTTGTACTCTCTTGCCCTTTGAAGGGATTTTTTACCTTTTTATGATTTTTTTGTAACATCTTGCATAGAATATGTGTTTATTGAGTTATGTAGATCTTTCAAATGTTGACATTTATCATTCAGTGTCAAAAAAATCACATTTGTTCATGTCACCACCAGTTTCATCCGAAAAATCGTTAACTATTGGGAAACTGTCAATTTCACAGGGATGGAAGTTTTGCAGAAGTCTAATTTTCACTTAAAAGCTTCAGTTTTATCATTGGCAACAAACATGTCAGATTTTTTCTTTGAAGTTGCAAGCTCATTTTGATCATCATCTTAGAAAATTTCTGCCAACTTTCTACATTGGAATAACCATAATTTGTCTACAGTCATTTTGATAGCTCACAACTCAGTCACACTAATGCTTTTCCCTGAGACATACTCTGTATGCAGCAGCAGTGCTTTAAGCATTTAGCTTCACAAATTGAATGCATTTTGTCATACAGAATATTTTTATAAAATTGTATTCAAATTTCAAGACTTAATGAAATTAAGTGAAACTGGCCTTAAGAAAAACCCCCCACAAAACTTGGTGTGGGTGAAGAACACATGACTCCTGGTACATTTTGGTTCCATTACCTCGATCGTAATTCTGTTGTGCCAGCGGTTACCCAGCCTCACTTTTGTACCGTATGTGCAGATGTCATCACAGTGAAGAAGGCACACAGCTTCCTTGTGTTATTATGAAAATAGTTTTGATTTTGTGGGTCACGATGAATTCACAGTTCACACTTTGAGAACTGCTGTGATGCAGGGTGATTGGATTTAGGTTGTGGTTAAGGTCTGCTGATTAGGTTTCGGGGAAGGTAAGGTGTCTCTGAGAAAATGATTTTTAAGCCAAGCAAAAGAAATGTGTGAAGGCTTTGAAGTAGGCAAGGTTGTTTGTGTCATCAAGGAACTTCAAGAAGACCAGTATACATAAAGTATTGTGATCAAAGGGAAGAGTAATACAAAAAGGGGCCAGTTTATTTGAGACTTTAGAACCCATTTTAAAGATTTTTGTATTTTACTAGTATCCTCTGGCCATGGAAAGACTTTTTTTTTTTTTTGTAGCAGGAGAGTGATAGGACCCAATTTATGTTTCAAAAATAGCACTCTGGCTGACTGTTTTAAGAAATTTAAAAAATGATACATTTAGTTAGGTTCTTTCCATATTTACAGTTGCAAAGTCTTTTCCTTTTACTAAGACTTTAATTAAAAATAAACTCAGGACATACTTAGTAACTTGATTCAGATCTTTCAGAAAGTCTTGCATGGCAGAAAAAGAGCAAAAAGGAATCTTATTTGGGGCCACACACATTTTATTCTTTAGATAAAATATCTGCACTTGCCATGAAACATCTTTCAAAAATTACTTTTGTTACATTATTTAGAATAAGTAGATGAATATTTATGAGGGCAGACACTCAGGTAACTTACGTATTGGGTGCACAGATGACAATCATAGAAAATAACTCCACAAAGTCAATTCTCTGGAGGTACTATATGTGAAAAACATTTATTTCTCAGAGAATGCTTACTGATTTCCTTTACCCCCCATTTATTCAAATTAAAGGTTTCTTTTATGTGTCACAACTGTGATGACATGGTAATATTGAAAAGTTACTTCTTTAAAGACAAAGCTCCTTGCAGTTTATTAAATGGAGAGTAAGTGACATTGCTTTTAATGCATTACTCATTTCTCTCCAAAATATTTTTATGGCCTTAGTGTTCCTGGATCTTGCAATCTAGCAAGAAAAAAAAGAAAAGAAAATGCATTATCTTTTACTTACCCTATTAATATTCTTTTTGTTAGCATATGGCTAACAGAGACCCGTTTTGCGATTACTACCAGTTTAATGTGCATTGTTTTTTTCTTCAGTGATACTTAGCCTCTTTTGGTTTGTTTTCGGATATATCACTTTTAAGGGTTTTATGTTGATGGAACCTCAGCCTCTTTTTTCCTATTATCTCTCTTAACCAAATGTGGAACTTCACATTTGGGTGAGTTTCTGCCAAACTGGAAAGAATCTGTTGGGTACACAGTTGGTTAATTCAGACTGGAGGAAGTTCTTCCCCCAGCAGACTTAATCTTTTCAGCGAGTGGGTGTCTGACAGAAAGGCCAACAAGGTGAGCAGTCAGTCTTAGAGGAGCAGCTAGGCTTTCCCAGCTGACCTGGGGCCTTTATTTCTGGTGTGCTCATCTTTTGGCCACTGTGAGAACCTTATTACACTTACTTATGAAATGTTTTTATACCTTGAGTTTAGATTGATATTTTAAAAGTCTTGTCATATTTTAATTATCCTGGATTTCCCAGGATTGTTCTGATTTTAAATATTCTGTCCCTCTCCTCTCTCTTTTCATCTAAATGTATTCCTCAAACAAAAAAATGCCTTTTTTTTCATACTTGATTCTTGTTAATATAAATACTTGTCATTAGGCAAGTAAGTCACTGAAATACTCAGTTATCATTGTCTATGTCGAACATTAGCTGTAAAAGAAATCATGGTGATATTTATGTGCTGTTAAGATAGGAGAACATAGTGGTATTTTTCTTCAATTAGGAATCAATAGATTTGATCTTTTTTTCTGAAATGGTTATTGAGTTGATCATAATGGTGATGACAAGAAGCATTATCAGTGGGGGCATTCTTTGGCCTGCAACTTTTTGACATGAAAGAATTAGCTTCTGTGTCATTCTTTGTCCATTAATTGAGCAGTGAGTAGTCCTTAATTTTCTAAGTATTTAGGCAATCATATATTATTCCCTTCTTTCTCAGAATTTTTTTTTTTGGGTCTGTAAGTTTGTGTGTGAGTGTGGTGTGTTTGTGTAAGTTTTGTTCATATGAGTCTAGGAGAAAAGAGAAAATGGATAGTTTTGGAATTTAGATTGTAGGGATGTTGGAAATAAAACGAAAGGAAGTTAATTTTACTCCTGATGTCAAGATAAAAGAATTGTAAAGACTTAAGTTACATTTTAGCACAGTTCTTTTCTTTAGCCTACAGTGCAAATAACACATAATCAAGTTTCTTTGTTTTTGAGAATGACTTCTACTTAAATGGGAACAGAGAAAGCTTATTATACAGAATTTTTCTCAACAAGATGTCTTTTTTTTCTCTCCATGGAAGACATGGCTTTATCAAAATGCTTCTTTGTAATGATATTTTTCATGAGTTTTTAGAATCTATACTATTATGTATTTTTATTAAAATTGTAGTAGACCTTAGAAGGCAAATTTAAAATGCATTAGAATTTTGAGATTTTACTTAATAGTTGAAACGTTTAAAATTCAGTTACTATAGTTATTGAAAACTTTCTAGCCATTGTAAATACAGAGATAATTTTAAGCATAGCAGGTTGGTTTACTGTAGATAATTAGTAACTGGTATTTCCAGGTGTTGAAGGCCTTCCAACAACAAGAACAAGAACAACAACAAAAATGAAGGCCTTCCAACAGAAAGACAGACAAAATATTAGCTTAATTAACTGAGGAGCAGATTATTCGTAGGTATATCAGTTTGCCAGGGCTGCCATAACAACATGCCACAAACTGGGCAGTTGAAACAACAGAAATTTATTTACCCACAGTTCTGGAGGCTGGAAGTTTGAGATCGAGGTACTGGCAAGATGGTTTCTCCTTGGCTTGCAGATGGGTGCCCTCTTGACGCCTCTCCATGTGGTCACCTCTCTGCGCATGTGTACCCCTGCTGTCTCTTCCTCTTCTTAGAAGGACAGCAGTCATATTGGATTCAGGCCTCACCCTAATGGTTTTATTTTAACTTAATCACCCCTTAAATACCTTATTTTCAAATACCGTTATATGTTGAGGTACTTGGGGGTGAGATTTCAACATATGAATTTTAGGGGAACACAATTTAGTGCATAAGAGTAGGCAATGAAATCAATTACGGAAAACAGTACTACATGTAATTTTAAAAATTTACTCATTTTTTCCCCCTTTTATTTAATAAGGTTTGTGTAGAAGTGTAATTGTTCTGTTTTTTGTTGTATATATCCTAGCCGGAGAATTTTCATCCTTGGGCCTTCTCATCATGTGCCCCTCTCTCGATGTGCACTTTCCAGTGTGGATATATATAGAACACCTCTGTATGACCTTCGTATTGACCAAAAGAGTAAGTATAAAGAAATCATAAAGCTTATAAACAGCTAACGGTTTTTAAATAGGAATTATAAAATGTGAATATCATAGTAATATCTCAAAAAATAAAATTTGTTGTAATTAATCTACAAAAAATAAAAACAAAGAAAGAAAAATCTTCTATGTGCTTAAAAGACAACCACAGTTTTTCTGCCAGCCACAAAAATCTGTCAGATCTGCTAATCTCCAGACTGTAGGAAAGTACTCTGTACTCATTGTACTGTGAGACAAGAAAGTGGTTCCCCCTCACAACTTGGTGAAAGATTCTGGGCAGGTTAGTCTACCTCTATGTATATCACTTTCCTCACTGTAAATAGATAATGGTGATAATGCCTTTTTTCCTCCCAAATTATTTTTATGAGAAAAAATGAGCCTGTAGTTGTGAAACTCGGCAAGAAAGGTGCTACGTAAATCTTAAGTGCATTTTATTTTTAAGATGTTGATTAGTTTGATTTATTTTTTCCATAGGCTTTCAGAAATCACATTTTTAATTTACTTGGGCATTATTTTAAATATTGGATGTGTAAAGTAAAACTTACTGACTTTGAATAGTAGTTTTGGAGAATAGGAGCATAATTTAAAAAATACAGAATAGTACAGAAAATAGTGTTACAAATACTCATCATCCAATATTTACTCAGAATTTTCCCCTCATCTGAACTCAATTTATATTTCCACTAGTATCTACCTTTATGGACTTGGTATGTATCTTTACAGTTCATTAAATTATATTTTAAGTATGTTGAGTGCTTATTTCAAGAAATTTTACAAAATATACTAATGTAGAGTGAAAGAAACCATTTACAAAGGAAAATGATCACCTCTTTTTTTCCATAGTTCTCTAGTCCTAAATTTCTGTAATTTGGGCTTTTAAGAATCATGGAGTATTAGCAATTTGTTAGAATATATCTTATTAATAAAGCTGGAATATTGCTAGCCTTATTCCCTAGGTTTTTAGGGGACATACTTTATTTTTAAAACTTTGTTGTGGCATTCAGAAAATTTTGGTATTAGATAGCCTGCCAAAGAAGGAATGGAATGTTTTTAATCATATATATTTTTGTAGAAAAAAATCTTAGCACCATTTGTAGTTCTCTTTTTGATATTGGCAAACCCATTTTTCTGATGTAGTTATAAAAATGTTGGTTCAGGCGCTAGCTGATAGTGCAGCGGTTCTCAACCTGTGGGTCGCGACCCCTTTGGGGGTCGAATGACCCTTTCACAGGGGTCACCTAAGACCATCGGAAAACACATATATAATTACATAGTTTTGTGATTAATCACTATGCTTTAATTATGTTCAATTTGTAACAATGAAATTGGGGGATCACCACAACATGAGGAACTGTATTAAAGGGTTGCGGCATTAGGAAGGTTGAGAACCACTGCGATAGTGCATTTGCCTGTGGACTGAAAGGTCCCTGTTTTGATTCCAGACAAGAGCACATGCCCAGATTGTGGGCTCAATCCCCAATAGGGAGCGTGCAAGAGGCAGCCGATCAGTGATTCTCTCTCATCATTGATGTTTCTCTCTCTCTTCCTCTCCCTCTCCCTCCCTTTCTGAAATCAATAATAATTATAAAAAAATGTTGGTTCAGTTCTATGATAAGACAAAAACACTCATTTTTTTAAATTTAATTAAATTTCATCATTTTGCTGTACAATATTCAGTTTTAAGTATAATTCATCACAAAGGTCTGAATTACTAGATCATTTTAATATTATTTATGGCATGGTACTGTGGTAAATTTATGTTCTGGTCTATCCCATAAGCTTTATTTTTAATTTTGAGGAAAATAGCATTCTTAGTGGGAATTTTCTATTCTTAACTATGGCCAGAACCTGAGATGTGAAATAATAATCCTATACATTTTATTAAAAAACAAAGCAAAACACAGAAACTATATTATTAACTTCATAAGTAGACCAGTGATTTTTCCGTATTTCAGTAGGAGTTCTAGTCAGCTATGCTTTTGTTAGCATGTACTCATTAAAGTTAAGGAAAGGCTTACACCTGGAGGTGATTTTTGTTATAATGAAAGGAACTGATGAAAAATTTATATTATTACTTATATAACTATGTATCATAGAAATGCTGAGTAAGTTATTACATGTATTATTGTTTTTTCCGATATGTAAAAAGCAAGCCTCTTCTTTTTTAAAAATAAAAATGGAGGGAAAAAAAGGAGAATATTATGTGGTGCTTCTACCTCTTGCCAAAGCATGTAGTTTTGTATTACTGGGTGGAGTCTCACAGGATAAGGATATACATTAATATATTTGTTTTATTATATTTTGAAATCTCTTTAGTTTACGGAGAACTATGGAAGACAGGAATGTTTGAACGCATGTCTCTGCAGACAGATGAAGATGAACACAGTATTGAAATGCATTTGCCTTATACAGCTAAAGCCATGGAAAGGTATATTGATTAATATAAGAAATCCCAGAGAAATCATAGATATTAATTTCTTTGGAATTATTTTAACTATGGTAAGATAATCATTAGGGTAAAGAGATTAAAAAATGTTGGGTGGGGCTTAAAACAATACAAATGTATTCTCTCATAGTTCTAAAAAATATTTTTTATTTGAAATGAAATAAAAATTTGAGGTTGGATTTTCTTAATGTGGATTGAAGTTGGTTTTTGAATAGTTTGCCTATGAGAGCTGAACATGTGAATCGAATTGTTTGTTTTATTAGGGGGAAATATAAAAAAAAAAAAACACCCGTGTGTGTGTGTGTGTGTGTGTGTGTGTTTATTGGTTTGCCTATTACTTTACTCATTAGACATTTATATATCTTAAAATAGCAATTGCATTCTTTTATGGTATGATGCCATAAGTAATAACAACCTTTTAGATTTGGGATCAATATTGGAGGTCATTTATTTCAGCTTTACACAAAGTACATGAATCTCTTTCATAATATGCTGTTAGATTATTATTTGGTGTCTGCTAAAGGTCTTCCAGTGATAAGGGTACTCAGTAAACTGTAAGTATGTTGAGGATATGGACAATATCTATTTTATTCTCCAATTATACCTCAGTACCTGCACAATGCCAGTCAGAACAGTCATTAATTTGTTTTGGTACAATGAAATAATTATTTTAAGAGCTTTCTTTTAAGTCAGCATTCAAATAAGAAAGTCTTCCTTTTGTAGGTCACATTTCTCTCATTTTCAACCATTTTCTTTATATGGACTTAATATTCCACGTATAGTTTGACTAGTTTTAAATATAGTGAGATTATTCCTTCTTGGCTTGCCATCACTGTATTCTCTTAGTAAAGTATGTGGTGCAGTTTAGGTTCTCAGAAAATATTTGTTAGTTAATTGCATTATTGAAGCTTGAGATTGCATTAACATTTTTTTTTAAAATATATTTTATTGATTTTTTACAGAGAGGAAGGGAGAGAGATAGAGAGCTAGAAACATCGATGAGAGAGAAACATCGATCAGCTGCCTCCTGCACATCTCCCACTGGGGATGTGCCCGCAACCCAGGTACATGCCCTTGACCGGAATCGAACCTGGGACCTTTCAGTCCACAAGCCGACGCTCTATCCACTGAGCCAAACCGGTTTCGGCTGCATTAACATTTTTTTGTGCTATTGTGGCAAATGTACTGTGGTCAGCCAAAACCCAAGGTTTTTTCATATTGTTAAACTGGATTATTTTATCCTCTTGTACTGTTGTGGTTGATTTCTTTTTAACTATATATATATATATATATATATATATATATATAATCTCCTCATTACTTATGTGTAATTTTGTCTTGTTGGTTTTAGTCCATTATTGCAGTCTTTCTGGATCATTTCCACTCTTAATTTTGTTATCAGAGTATTACTTACTTCTCTCGGTCTTATGTTACTGATAATCTGTTCACAAGGATAACTATGAGGACCTTCATAAATCTGGAGAAGTTTCTAAAAATCATTGTGATTAAATTATAAGCAGTTTAATTTTAGGTTAATTGTGTTTTAATACATTATAATTCTTCAGAAATTGTTAAAGCAATATGTGATGTTTATTTCTTGGAATGTTAGTATAATTGAAATGTTTCATTCTTCAACTATATAGGATAATAGAAATTTTTTGTTATTTGCTGAAATGTTTGCACATTTTGTCATTAGAAAACAGATATTTTAAACTTAATAGATTTTAATACAATAGAACCAATAAGCTGCTAGTAATATCCTTAAGGAGGTTTTTTAACAAAATAGCATTTTTGTTATTATTTCAAAAGTAAAATGTGCATTGTGTAAAATTTAGAAAAATAGGAACTTAAAACCAACAAGCAAAATTTTTGTTCATAATTTCCCCTCTATTAAATAATATTACATAACCACTGTTAAGTATCACTTCTTCAGAAAACCTTCCCTGTCTCGCAGATTATATTAGGATCCCTAAGATTGACTCTTAGAAAGTACCCACTTTCTAAGTACTTCAAAGTGTAATTTCCCTTTGTAGCCTTTCCCATACTCACCACCTGTATCAGCTGTCCATTACTAAGTAACAAATTACTCCAAAACTTAGTGGCTTGAAATCACAACTATGTTATTGCTCACAGTTTTTGGGTCAGGAGGTTTGGCAGGGAACACCTTGCTGTAAAATGTTGACTAAGGTGGCTGGAATAGACTAGAAAATCCAAGATAGCCTTAGTGCTAGTTACAGACATAGTTAAAGTTTCTTAGCAAAGGGAGGAGGGAGATGATTAGAACCTATTACTACTTGATGGTGTGAAGGATGGAATAGAGTTGGAAGAGATGGATAGAAATAGTTTAGTAAAGAAACCACGGTTGCTTTGAACTAAGGAAGATGTGAATGGGGTAGGGGTAGGAAAGTGAGCAGGTTATGGGAGACATTTAAAGGTTAGAACCAATAAAACTTGGTAAATGTTTATATGTGGGGGAGTAAGATGATTTTAAGAAAATGCAAAAGTTTAAGGTTTAATAGCATGCCATTATCAGAGAAAGTAAAGCCAGCAAGCAGTAGGTATACATTTAAGAGAACATAAGATATGGAAATATTGACTTGCTTCTAACAAAATACTGAATTTCTCTAATAAACTTGGCCAGTTCATGATAGGGTATTTTTTGTGTGTGTTTTGTTTTGTTTTTGACTTCAAATAGTTGAGTTTACAAAACAGAGTTTAGTATGGCTCTCAGGTACCTGAAATAAGCCTGCCCTTGTAAAACCTTTATCAGTATTCCTACTCAAATGAAAATTCAGAAAGATACAGCCTTTGAGATTAATTTTGAGAGTCTCATTAGATTCACTTAACTGATCAAACAGTAAAGATTTTTAATAATTTAAATGTTAACTTTAGTTGTTATTGACAGCCAGCTTACCTTATCCCCTCACTTCTGTCTCCCCAGTTCTTTAGCTCTGCCTGATGTTTAATAGATCTTTTTAGTTTGTTCTTTGACAGTGAAAGTATTCTGCATAAAGTCTGGATGTATGTAACTGTGGTTTAAAAGTGAATTTGAGAAAAAAATGAGAGAAATTCTTTTTATAGGGCTCCCTAAAATGCTTGTCATTATGATTCCTTTATTTCATTTTGCCTTTAACACCTGTTTCGAGAGTTCTACAACCAGCCTCACATTTGAAGACTCACTAGACCGATTAGCAGTTGTATTCCTGACTATGGTTTATTAGAAAAGATACACACAGCAGGACCAGCAAGGGAAAAAGACACATTAGGCAGAATCTGGAGGAAGCCAGGTGCAGGCTTCCAAAGTTCCTCCCTTTCATAGGGGTGGGCCGAATGGAATGTGCTTTCTCCTGCGGTGTAACACGTGTATAGTGTTTCTGGCCAGGCAAGCTGCTTTTAAGATTCAAAACCATTCCTGGCCGATGTGGCTCAGTAGGTTGGGCCTTGTCCCATGCACCAAGAGGTTGCAGGTTCGATTTCTAGTCGGAGCCCATGCCCCAGTTGCAGGCTCGATCCCCTGTGGTGGGCCTGCAGGAAGCAGCCGATTGATGTTTCTCTCTCTGTCTCCCTCTCCCTTTCTCTGTCTCTTTAAAACATTCAATAATATTTTGGTAAAAAGATTTAAAATCAGGTTTTATTTTATTTTTAAATCCAGGTTTTTTATCAGGAGCTGGTTATGTAGTCACTCACTGCCAGCATAACTAGGCACAACTACTGAAATTCCAAACTCCCAGAAGGAAAGCAGGTGTTAGCTATAATGACATTTTTATAAACAATCTAGGCTGTCTGGTACAGTGTCCCATGGGGATAAAGCAGCCTTAATCACATAAGGAACATTGTAAAAGTCAAGTTCCCAGATGTCACCAAGGACAGTCTTACAAGCAGGCCCTTTTGAAGATTGCACAGCAGACCTGCAGAATTCCCACTCCTCTTTCCCAATTCCAGGCTGCCATATTGCTATTCCAACTTTCTGATTTTTTGATTCACTTACATGCCACCCTAACCCTTATTATAGCTTAGGTTTGTACTAGGTCTAAAGATTTTACTTTCCTTTTTGATTGTGGCCTCAATTAAGTCTTCAGATATTGGAAATGCCAGAGAAAAGTAAGATGTGTTCTTGAATAGGTCATCTTTAACAGAGGGGAATGGCTTGCCTCTGGTCATAGAAAGAAGTCTGAGATTTTTCTACCTCAGTGCCATTTTCAAATGTGTTCTTACTCTTACTTTTAAATATATTTCTTAAATATATTTTTAAAATATATTTCTTTATTGATTTCAGAGAGGAAGGGAGAAGGAGCGAGAGATAGAAACATCAATGATGAGAGAGAATCATTGATTGGCTGCCTACTGCACATCCCCTACTGGGGATCGAGCCCACAACCCAGGCATGTGCCCTTGGCCGGAATCGAACCTGGGACCCTTCAGTCTGCAGGCTGATCTATCCACTGAGCCAAGCCAGCTAGGGCTCTTACTCTGACTTTTATACTCATGGTTATTTGTGTATTTCTGCATATGTCTTGCAGTTCAGTATTTTTTGTTGTTATTTACTGAGATTTTAGAACAAATGTGGATTTTCTTTATGTTTCTGAGTTTTCCTTTTTTATATATGTTTTGAGTATTATCTGCACATCAGTAAGAGATTATTTAGAATTATAGGGCATAGAGGATCTCTAGAATATAGCTAAAACATTTTTGTTTGTTGTAATGGAACAGTTTCAGTTTCTATGACCATGAATAGGATGAATAAAAGTTAGTGTAAGGCATTTATTTTTTATCTCCATATGTTTTATCCTTTCCCCCCCTCTATGATTATTTTCTATCTAAAAGAGGAAAGGAGAATAAATAATATAATCGTACTATTATAATGTTACAGAAAAACCGGAGAAGAACCAAGCAACACTTAGAGAGATGGAGTTACATTTATTATTATTACGCTCGGGCCCAGAGGAAAATGTCTCTCAAATTCTGGGCGAAATCACATAGGA